CTTCACGAAGCAATTTTCAAAACAAAATATCTTAAGCACATCAAGACGACTCGCCTTTCGGCGACAGTATGGTATGTGCATAACTTTTTGTGCACAAACATTTCTCGTTGGCAGAAAATATCCTTTGCCGGTTTCAAACAGCAGCTCTTCTGACCTTTTGTCTTCTTCAGTCTTCTGCAGTTTGAAGCCACTAGTACTCTTCTCGGCTGTTTGAATTGTTTGGACACTAGCAAACCAGTGTCTCTGTGAGGCCGATTGTCCGGAGAAAGATGACCTCGATACATTCAGTAGATATTTGTGTACCATGTCTTAGTTGTGCTGAGATTTTTGTTAATTTGAGTCGACAAGGAAAACTAGACCTTGACTGTTTGCTTACATCTGACTGATTGCAATGGATGTTACTACGGCGGATTTTCAGTAATGAAATTTCTGTCCTCTGAGAGGTGTATTTCGTGTTTCTTTTTTTCGAATTCTGCGAGCCGTTCAGTGTATGTGAAAGATACCTTTCACGTTTTCTGTTTCCCACATGTGGACTGAATGTAGATAAAACCTTCTCCTATGACTTTTTTATTACTTTTTTTTGAGAACCACAAATAAATAATTTTAGGTCTTGTTGAAACGTTATGAAAAAAAAAAAATAATTTAGGCCGCGTATGGATTGATATGATGAAGACTATTCGATCGCCTCAACTGGCACTGGCTGCGCACAAGTATATCATGAACACGTTATTCTGTGTTCTGGAGGCCGATCAGCAGCTCGCTGGCGCCGATCCCAGTCCAGCTCACGTTCACATCCGAGACAGTGCCCTCTGATCGAGCTAACCATGCATCAGTAATGTTATTTCAGGTCACTTCAGTATCAAGCACTTAGGCCGTGCTGTATCATATTGTCTTGGTGTATTCTTTCGCATTTAACTGTTGTATCCTATGATCTAATTATTATGTGGAAGAGGAAATGCAGTTCTGAAAGGCTGAATTGCCGGGAGCCCTGTTCCCGCATTATTTTTTAATTCCAGTTCAGTTTTTATGTGTTTTGTGCAGTGCAACAGCTGTTTAAACAGGTGTGCTTATGCGTCTGTTTCCTTTGTTCGTTTTGTCACTGTTTTCATGCGCCTACATCATGCATACGGGCATGACAAACTTTGGCCGAGAAACGACTTTGATAGCCAGTTGAGCTGGGAAGCTGAAATTTTCTGAGGATATGACGATGTATGCGAGTCCAAACGATCTTGCTGCAGCGTGAAATCGTGCAGAAAGGCTTTGTCGTGCTGGCAAGCGTGGTGCACGCCGCAGTTGATTGTATTTAGTCAAAGATGTAAAAACGCATAAAAAATTGCTAAAACGAAGCATGTGAAGGCATTATCCCTCCCATATAATTAAAAAATCTTTTTCGACGTTTTCAAGCCCATAGGTGGTTGTCTCTTCGCGTTCGCCTTCGAAATACTTTGCCAGCAAATCCTCAATGCCTTTTTCATTGCATTTATCAGAACTGCACGCACATGTACGCCAGTGACTTCTGGGCGATGCGCTTGCATGGCACATATTTAGCTGCAATGAACATTTGCTGCATTAGCAGATTTACAGCTAGGAACTAAACATGGGATCTTAAGGAATCGGAATCCACTTCTCGATGCTTGAAACTCCTCAGCATATCAGCAATAACAGTCTGTACCAGAGTGCGAGGCGCGACATTTCTCGACTCTTTTGGTGGACGGTGACGCTCGCCTAACTAATTCGCTCTACTGCAGAAGCGATCTTCTTACCTTTCCAATTAAAATAAGCATTCGGTGCGTCACAGTAACTTGCGCCCGTTAGTTCACACAATCATTGGCGACGCGCACTGTGCGGGACCGTGTGATCATGCGTTTTTGCAATGTTTTGTACTGTAACATGATCACTCGAAATTCCCAGAACTAGAAACTCTTGCACATACTGGTCCTCGAATTTCGGTAAGTCAATTATCCACCCTATACTTGGACAGGGAACATTCCCTTGAAATTCCAAGTTCCTAGCTTTCTTAGTTCCTGAGTTACTCAAATTCCAGCCAGAAAATTTCACGGGGCCGTGCGTGACAACCATGCAGAACGAGAAGCTGAATTTGATAAACTCAAGTTGTAGATGAGTTGGGAACATTTGCTGAAGTTTTCAGCCTCCCAGCTTTCTTGGTTCCTGAGCTAGCGATTTTCGCGCCAGGAATCCTCACGCGGTCGTACGCCGAAACTACGCACACCTAGGGGCTAAATTTAAAATCTTTGAGTTCTATATGGGCGGGGAACATAATCCCAAAATTTTAAATTCCTAGCTTTTCTGGTTCTCGAGTTGGCGATTTTCCCGCCAAAAATTTGAGGCGCTCGTACGCGGGACCTAGA